GGAGGAAGACTTATTAACAACCTGCAATATGCAGATAACACAGCCTTGCCTGCACTTACTGATGAAGGTCAAAGACTACAGCCTTCAGTATGGATTTCACCTCAACATAAAACAAAAATCCTCACAACTGGCCCAGTAAGCAACATAATGACAGGTGGAAAAAATATTGAAAGTTGTCAAGGATTTCAATTTACTTGGATCCACAGTCAACACTCGTGGAAGCAGCAGTCAAGAAATCAGGCGATGCATTGCATTGGGCAAATCTGCTCAAAAAAACCTCTTTAAAGTGTTAAAAAGCAAAGATGTTACCTGAGGACAAAAGTGGGACTGACCCATTACATTTTCAGTCGCTTCATATGCACGTGAAATGTGGACAATGAGGAAGGAAGACTGAAGAAGAATTGATGCATTTGAATTACAGTGTTGGTGAAGAATATTGAATAGACAGACCATGAACTGCCAGAGGAACGAACAAATATGAAAGAAGCACAAGAATGCTCTTTAGAAATGGGAATGTGAGACTTCACCTCAAGTACTTTGGACATGTTATCAGGAGGGACCAGTCTCTAGAGAAGGACATGGTGCTTGGGAAAGTAGAGGGTCAGTGAAAAAGAGGAAGACCCTCAATGACATGGACTGACAAAGTGGCTGCGACACAGTGGGCTCGGGCATAGCAATGACTGAGGATGTCACAGGACTGGCCGGTGTTTCATTCTGTTGTACAGAGGGTTGCTGTGAGTCAGAAACAACTCAACGGCACCTAACAACAAAACCAAACAAACAAAACCAAACCGTACCCACTGCCACTGAGTCAATTCTGACTCATGGCAACCCCATGTGCTCCTAAGTAGGACTGCTTGCCCCACAGGGTTTTCTGGGCGGGAATCTTAATGGAAGCAGATCACCAGGCCTTCCTTCCAGGGTCCTGCAGGATGGGTTCGAACTGCCAACTTTCAGGTTGGTGTCCCGTGCAAACTCTTCATGCCATGTAGGGGGTTTTTTCACCCCCACGAAGATGGCTGTAACGTCGCTATGGGTCAGAATCGACTGGACAGCAATGGAAGGGTGGCTGTAATTATTGAGCCCTGGTAGCACAATGGTTAAGCACTCAGCTGCTAACTGAAACGTTGGCAGTTTTAACACACCAGCCGCTTCAGATAGAAAGAGGTGGCAGTCTGCTTTCACAAAGATTTACAGCCTTGGAAACCCAATGGAGCAGTTCTACTCTGTCCTGTAAGGGTCACTGTGAGTCAGAATTGACTTGATGGCAGTGGGTTTTGTTAAAATGGTATAATAGAAAATAAACAAAAAATAAGTCTTGGCAAGAATGTGGAGAAATTAGAATCCTTACACATTGCAGCTATGAAAAGCAGTTTGGCAATTCCTCAGACAGACACAGAGTTACCATGGTGTTGGTTGCCATGGCCCAGCAATTCCAGTCCTCAGTATATACCCAAAAAGAATTGAAAACAGGTACTAACACATGGGGTCACCATGAGTTGGAACTGACTCAACAACAACAGTTTGGTTTTGATTTTTAACTCTGTTAACAAATACCTATATGAGAATGTTCATAGCAGCACTATCCACAGTAGCCAAAGGGTGGAAACCATCCAAATGCCCATCAAAAGATGAATGGATAAACAAATTATATATACATACAATGAAGGTTACTCAGTAGTAAAAAGAAATGTTTTGATGCATACTCTGATATGGGTGAACCTTGAAACATTACGCTGAGTAAAAGAAGCCAGACACGAAAGGCCACGTATTGTATGATTCCATTTTTATGAAATACCCAGAATAGGTAAATCCATAAAAAAAAGAAAACTGATTGGTGGTTGCCAGGGGGTGAGAGGAGGGAGTGAGGGGGAATACCTTCCTAATGAGGACAGACTTCCTTGTGGAATGATCCAAACATTTTGGAACTAGGTAGGGTGCTAAGATAGGGTGGTTGGTGGTTGTACAATTTGTGAGTGCACTCAGTGCCATGAAAATGTTAGTTTAAAATGGTTACTTTTATGTGAATTTCAGCTCAATAAAAATCAATCCATTAGTCAGTCTGGCTACCCTGACGCTACCATGTTTAAGGGACCATGTGGAGAAACCAGACGGACAGAGCTGCCCAGGAGTCTAGCCATTTGAATCTGCCTGTGCGCCAGACCCGAGAGTGAGCACGTCTTCAGATGACCCAGCCCCATAACCTCTGGGCTGACCCAGCTGACACCAAATGGAGCAGAGACAAGCTGTCTCCACCAGGCCCACA